TTTTTTTTTTTTTTTTTTTTTTTTTTTTTTTTTTTTTTTTTTTTTAAAGTGCTTTATCCAGCCCACTTCTATGTAGAAAGTCGGCCAGTTGTTTGTATGTGGCAGGCAGTTTTGAAAGAAGAATCTGTTTGAAATTTTGGTAGTTTCGGAAAAGAGAATTATCATTACGTAAGTTGTTATATTTGATGCAATCAAATATGAGGTGTTCAGGAGTTTCTTTTATGTTGCATGCGCTGCAATTGTCTGATCTGTAATGCTGAAATTTGGTTAAATAAGTGCTACCGTACGTGTGTCCAGTAGCAATTCTGTTAAAAAGTTTTATGTCGTGTGCTTCTAAGTCTACATTTTTGTTTTTAAACCATGGCTGTTTTTCTTTGGGCGTGCAAAATTCTACTATGTCCGGGTCCCAGTTTGGAAGTTTGTTGGTAAATTCTTGTTTGGCTTCAGTCCACAACATTTTGCTAATCCTTCTCAGTGCTTCACAAGGTGTGAGTTTTGGGGGTAAAGATTTACCATGGTCAACTGCTGTTTTTGCTGCTATATCCGCTTTTTCATTTATGGTAATACCCACATGGCTAGGTGTCCAGACTATTGCAATGTTTTCTATTTGGGAGTGATAAAGTTTGTTATGGATTTCAGCTACTAGGAAATTGTGTGTGGTGCGGCTTTTTAGGGCCTTAATTGCACTCTGACTGTCTGTAAATATTGCTACTTTTTTACTATCATTATTAATGGCTATCGTGATTGCTTGAGAAAGTGCTACTAGCTCACCGTAAGTTGATGTGAAGTTTCCATCTATATTGAACAGGTATGAGACGTTAGCCATTACCACATAGACTGCACAGCCAATTTTGTTATCTGACACCGATGCATCAGTGGCATACACTTTGAAACCTTCCTCTTTTAGCGTGTTAATCTTTTGGTTGTAGATAGCTCTGAGTTGTGTAGGGGTAACGTTCTTTTTGGACTGGGCCAATTCTGATTCGTAGCAGGTGAGGTTATGGTGTCTTTTGAAAGCTACATTTGTATCTATGGTGTTGATAATTGCTTTAAATTTTTCGTACGTTATGCTGTAGCTGGAATTTATGGGAGGTCTGTTCTGGATCTGTGTTCTAAGTTCAGGATTGATCAACCACTGTTTGACAAGTTCCTTGGCCGTAAGCCATACAGCTCTGGGAAGAGGTGGAAGTTCACAAGCCAGCGCGTATCTCATGAGTGTTGGAGTGTTTGGAGGAACTCCGAGGCATCTCCTCAGCGTTTCATTTAAATTGGTCTGTAGCTGCTTGTTATACCCTTTAGGGGCATTTGCATAACTGGTGTTGGCATATTCTGCTTTGGATCGTACAAACGCTTTAAAAAGATTTATAGAAGTTTTAGGTGAAATACCTGACTTGATAGATGTTAATTTAGAAATAAGGTTTTTACCTGAAGTTGTTGCTTTTTTAATTTCACTAATGTGTACCTTAATGGTTGAGTTCGCGCTAATTGTTCTTCCCAGCCATTTGAAGTGATGGACTTGTTCAATGTTTAGGCCGTTGATGGATACACTAAAGGTTTGTTTATTGTTTGCAGACATATACATGAATTTTGTTTTGTTCGGATTAAATTTGAGATTTAAGCTGTCGCATTTTGCCTGTAATTCTTCTATTTTGTTTTGTAAATTTAGAGCTGCAGAGAATCTGTTTGTGCCAGTGGATATTAACGCAAGATCGTCGGCAAACTGAAATAGTTGAGTCTGAGAGTTATTAATTTCGTGCAGTTGGGCTGTATAAATATTGAATAGCGTTGGGGAAAGGCAGCTACCTTGAGGTAGGCCAGAGTTTACCTCAACAGTGTGATTACCTAGGGTCAGATGTCTTTTAGAAAAATAGTTGTTAATCCAGTTTGCAATTGTTGGGTCAATGTTGCATTGTAGAAGAATATTATGAAGTGAAACAAGATCTACTCTATTATAGGCGTCCGACATATCTAAGAAACAAATCATAGCATATTCCCTACATTTCTTTCTATCTGCTATAAGGTGTAGCATTTCGTTAATGCACATTGTTGCTGATCTCATTTTTCGATAGGCGTAGCTCTTCTTGGGAAGTCTATTGCTTGTCTCCAGGAACTCGTTCAGCGATTCTTTCACCATCATATTAATGCTCTTTACTACGACAGATATGAGTGAAATGGGTCTAAAGTTATTTATGTCCTCAGTGTTTTTGTTTGCTTTCGGTATTGGAATTACCTTTATTTGTCTCCATGCGTCTAGGACCCTGTTGCTGTAAAAATGTTCTTTTAGGGCGTCTAATAACGACTGTTTGGACTCAGTGGACAATTGCTTTAATGTATTAAACGTAATTCTGTCGAAACCCCCAGCAGTAGATTTTTTTCTTGCTAATAAATTTTCGAATCTGCTGTATGAAAAGTCAACGCTGTTGTTGGCATTTACTGATGCAGCGGTGGTTGGAGTGATGACATTACAAGGGTTGCTGGCTTGTTGAGCTTGATTCCTTATCAGTTCTAAGTAGTTTCGGTCATCTTCAGCTGCCCAATTGTGAGACGCGCGCTTATTGCCTTTGACATTTCTTATGAATTTCCAAGCCTGTGTCGAGTTGGGGCAAGTGTTTATCTCCTCAATTTTACTGTTGTAGCTCGCTTTCTTTGCCGCCTTCACCGCTTCTTTCCAGTCACTAGTTGCTATAATTGAGGCTTCCATGTCTTCAACATTGTTAGTATGATTAGCTTTTTTGCGTTTAGCGACATGTAATCTGTACAGTTTTTTGAGGTCATCACTCCACCAGTTTTTAGGGGTACGCCTGGATGTGTTCAAGTCAATTTTGATCCTGTTCCTAACGCTGTCTATTTCTGTCGTGATGTTTTCTAAGTCAGAGAATTTTAACTGAGCAAGTTCCTGGGCGAGTCGTTCCTTGGGGATGAAATAGTTGGGCTTTTTGCTGCTATTGGTGACCTCAACGATGATGGGGAAATGCTTACTGCCTCCCAAATGGACTTGTTGACAGTGCCATTTTGTGTAACTGCTGTTAATGTTGGTCAGAGTTATGTCAATTGCCGTTCCTGCACTGTTACCGGTGCGGTGAGTGATTGCTCCACTGTTGATGCACTGTAGATTGGTGTTCCTGATTTCGTCAACAACTATTTTTCCTTTGGTGTTGCATATTCTGTCTCCCCACACTTGATGCCTAGCGTTGAGGTCTCCTGCTATAATAACGTTTTCATGATTGTTAAGAAAAAGTACTACACGGTTCAGTTCGTTAGTAAAATTTAAAGTGTCAAGGTTGGGAGGAAAATAAATATTGCAAATAGTTAAATTATTAATCAGATTAATCGTCTTGGCTATTAGAATGTCGTAATTTGAAACAAATTTGATTTTCGTGAATTTTATACCTTTTTTAAATCCGATTCCTACGCCACCATATCCATCGATTCTAGTCTTTCTGAGTAAGTTGAAGTTCATTAAATTGTGTTGAGTTGTATGGTTGTCATGCGAAAAAATTTCCTGGAGGCAGACTATATCAATGTTATTACTAGTGTTAAAGAAGTCTACATAGTTTTTATTACTTTTAAGGCTTTGTACGTTATATTGTAATATTTTTATTGGACTTGTCATCTTTGTTACTTGGAGTTTTGTCTTCAATGTGTACTGCGCCTATATTGCGAATTAGGTTAACCAAGGGGTCATTAACGTCAATGTCGTACCTTTTTATAAGGAGATTTACAAGCTTTTCAATCTCTGTGACCTTGGACCAATTCGGCATTTCATAGACGGGTTGTGTTTTGGTTGTAGCTTTCGGCAAGATTTTGGAATGGTTAGGTGTAGCTGTTGTGTGGGTTTGATGATTTCTAACTACATAATTGTATTTATATGTAGTGAGTTTTCTATTTACTGTTTCATCATTGTTGATCCTTGCTGTACTTTTTGCTTCTAACTGTGGAAAATTTCCCTCATAGTTTTCTAGAGCTGAGAAACGGTTATTATTGTTTAAATTGTACATCCCAATCGCCTCAGACTTAGATACTTTTTTTATTGTCATAATTTCGACCACCTGTTTTTCTCTGGCCCATTTTGAACATTTCCTGCTCTCGAGTGAATTGTGATTATCCCCTCCGCATAGTATGCACGAATTTGTGGTTTCATTGCATTTACTACTACAGCCCTCTGCCTTGCCACAGATAATGCATCTGTTGGCTGCTCTGCAGGCCATTTTTGTGTGCCCTAGTCTGCCGCAGTTGTAACAATGCCTAACTCTAGGAATGTAGTGAACCATTTTGATTTTTACGCAAAAAATGTCTATGGTTTCTGGTAGTTCGTTGCCTTCAAAACTTATTTTCACAGAGAGAGTTGGAATGAACTTCTCTTTGTCATTGGGATCTCTTCTGGTAATTCTTGAGATAGCTGTCACAGGAATATCTGAAATGATATTTTCTTTTATTTCTTCCTCAGTGAAGTTAAGAGGTATTTGTCTAGCAACACCAGTTGTTTCTACCAAGCTTCTTGGTATAAAGGGTCTCATTTGATTTTTAATTAAGTCGGGATTGCTAACGCACTTGTTTGCAGCTTCAAAATTTTCAAAAAAAATTTTGTAGAGTGATCTACCTATGGCTTTTATGTTTTTAATCCCCTCAATATTAAAATGTCTTATAATATCCCAAAGGAATAGGCCATTGCGCATTTTTTCGTTGTTTATCGTGTTGGATTTTGAGGTGTCCACCAGAACGCAATAATCTCCCCTGTGCCTTTTTGTATAGCACACACTGTCCATGTGTTCTTTTTCTTTTTCCCTGTTGTTCGCACCTTTGCTTTTTGTCGCACGTGTTTGTTCGCAGTCCGAGTGTTTGTAAGTTTCTTTCCCCTTGTTTTCGCTGTTCATGTCCGCAGTGCCCGTTAAGTTTTTTGTCGTCGTTTTTGCGTATGTTCCTCTCTTCACTAACATTCCTTGTAACGGGATGCAGGTGCCGTTAGCTTGGTCTGTCTTAGATTTTTTGGTAGTACTTGCTGTGTCCGTCCGTTTGGTACAGTCGTCGTCTGTTTCTGACTCAGCTATTGGAAGACCCCCCTTTGTAGTTTTATTCATCTGTCTTTTCCTTGCAGCTTGTTTTCTGTTTCTACCTGCCTCAAACCAGTCTGACGCTGGATTGGTGTCCAGCTCCTGGTTTGGCTCCCCCTTCTCTGACGCCGAGGCGTCGCTGTCCATTTTGGCTGCCGCCAATCACAAAGAACTGTAGCACTCACCTTCGTAAGAACGTCTGGATCAAGCACTAGCACAAGTTTCTTTTTTATTTTATTTTTTTTTTCAGATTTTTGGTTTTTTTTTTCTAGGTGTTTAATACCTAGTCTTTACAATAGAACATCCAACTTTTACACTTAACAATTGACACACACTTCACACTCACAATAGGCACAAGAAATACTTAGACAAATACAACCTCCACCTTCTGTAGTACAAATGCGAATGGGCAGCACAGTTAGTGAATCGCACAATCGTTACTGCAAACAACACAAATTGTTAGCTTACAACTCGACAAGTAGCATTGTTAAAAGTTAGTGAATCGCACTACAGATGAAAAGCTAACAAAATATCAACGAGAGATTGTCATGAAGTATGTTTCAAAACTTGGCTTATTTTGATGGCCGATAAGCTCCTTGAGGGAAAAACGTCGCAATAAATATACACTTGCGGTCAGCTGATTAAATCAAGTGATATTTTGAATAGTTTTGGCTATTTTTCTTTTATTTATTTAGTGTCTATATTTTTTTAAAAAAGTGTAGAGCTTTACCTAACCAGCGCCACATAAGTCCATATTCCAAACTTCGTACAAAAATTATGAAAATTCAACAAACTAACAATTGCACTCAAAAGTTTTAAACATTAAAATTTTGGGTATGCAGTTTTGCAGCTCATTAAATTTAAGTAGGTCAAAATTCAAATTTCAAGTCGCTAGAAAATCTCGGGCATTTATAATAATGGTGCTAGGAATTTTCTCCCACCAAACGAAATTGTCGAGCGTATTTTATATGGAAGAAAACGAACAACGCCGTCAGCCAAAAAAAAAAATATTAAAAATCAACGCGATTCTCCAGCGTTATGAAATTTTCACTTTAACTTGCTAAAATTTAATGAGCTACAAAATGAATTTCCAAAATTTTTCGGAAAATTCTGAATAAAAAGTTTCAAAGTAAAATTTTCGGGTGCAAATGTTTAAGTTTGTTCAATTTTCATAACTTTTGTACGAAGTACGAAATTTGGATTTATGTGGGGCTTGTTAGGTAAAGAGTCAAACTTTTATAAAAAAATATAAATTTGAGGTAAACAAATAAATAAAATAGCCAAAACTAGTCAAAATTTCACTTGACTTAGTCAGCTGACCACGAGGGTATGTAAATTAGAAGAATTTAAAAAATAAGAAATTTTCAATGTTATTATAAATATAGATAAATAACAAAAAAATTTTAAGTTAAAATAAAATAAATAAACCGTTTAAATTTTACTTACCTCAACAAAAATTTACTTTACACATACAATTGATAACTTAAATCGTAGTTTGTTTTAATGAAATCCAGTTTAATTATTTTTTGTAACTTGCTTTGTTATATTTTTTTTGGTCATTTGATTCGATATCTAAAATTTAGTACGCCCTGAAGCATTTTTTAAAGAAATCTTTTGGTTTTAAAATAACGGAGAGCAGTGTTACCGTTGTGCGACTAAAGGGGAAATTTGACTTTTTTTAGGCGCCAATACCCTTTGACCCGACTTTTTGAAAATTTAAATTTTTTGACCCTTTTCCAAAATTATGTGCAACTTTTGCAGAGTTTTTTTAACCATGCTATTAAAAAATATTTCCTCATGTAAGTACGAAAAAATGCATCACTTAAAACTTTTAAAGCAAATGCAACTCTTGTTTTTGCAGCAACTAGATGTCTGTGTCTGTTTGCAACCCTTTTTGGTGCAAAGCTTGTCCCCCTATTTTCTTTTTTAATTCGACAGCGGCACGTTCTAGCAGCGAAGAGACTTTTAAAACACGTAAATTTTACTTTGGATCTCAGATTTACGTAGTTACTAGCAAATTTTTACTAGAGAAGCAAGTCAATTACCCCCTTTTTGCGACTTTCTGAAAATTCTCAACAGCAACACTGCCAGAGAGTGCTCGAACTTCTAGTTTTATTTAAAATGGTTTGGCAAAAAATGTTCTTTCCACACTTACTGTGGCGACTGGAATGCAAAAGACAGTTTAAACTATTTGTTTCAAATGAGGAAACACTGTTTCTTCATCGTCCCCTTTTATCTTAAATATGTACTTACAAAAACAAAACAAAAAAACGCAAGAGAAATTTTAATTTATTCGTTCAAGTCGGAAGTTTCGAAAATAATGTACTAGGAGGCAGTGTTGGCAAAATGTTAATCTGATTAAGGAATAAAAATTAACGATTAAAATGTTAATTGCGATTAACGATTAAAATTAATTAATCGTAATCATCTGTACGATTAATGATTAAATTTTTTAATCGTTAATCGTCGGTTGTGATTACGATTAATTAATTTTAATTATTAATCGTTAATCCAGTTATTCTTTTGTGTTTCACTCTTATAAAAACACATAATATATAAAAAAATGGCAATTATTTTTTATTAATAGATAATATATAAACAGGGAATTTTTACAACCCCTCGCACATGTGCAGAGGGATATTAAAATCTAGTTTACATAACGTCTGTTGGAATAGATGTTAATGAAAATGCACACCAAATTGCTTACATTTATAAGGAAAACCGACTTAGCCATACCCGATTAACTGGCCTTGTGTGCACAGGAAAATTCCAGCGTAAATTAATTAATCACCAAACCTACTTAATCAAATTATGGGTTAATGATTAAAAATTAATTTTTTTAATCACGGTTATGATTAGCTGTTTAATCAGATTGAAACTAATCATGATTAACTGTAATCGGATTGAATTCAATCGAATTAACTAATTGATTAAAAAATCAATCGATTAGTGCCAACACTGCTAGGAGGTAATTTAAAGAACTATAAGCTTCTGTGAATCTGGCAACACTGCTACGAGTATAACAAGAAAACAATCTGAACTAAATTTCACTATTACATAATTCTTATTTTGTTCATGATTGAAGAATTAAATCCGAAGCCAGTTGCATTCGATATCAAGAGCACTTGCAGGCTTCGGAAGGGATGAAAATTTTCTTGTCTCAGCTTTCTATAACATTTTTATAATACACCCCAAAAATTTGTCAACTTGCACAACCTGCTTGTTTCCATCAGTAGTCATTCCACTCAAAATTATTTCACTCTTTATGTGACTTTTTCCAAATTTCGCCTTTTCACTTTTATTTTTTTTACAGTACTTAATTGCTTCCATTTGCTCTTCTTGGTGGTTCTACCGGCTTTTTTAAATTTTTTTTATAAATACATAGAGTTATCACACTAATACCACATACCGTCCATCTTGGTTTCCAGATATGTATGTGTGTATTTTATTTTTTTAGTTATGCCTCACGCATTCTTCAGCTGCTTCTTAAGGATTTTTTCTTCGATCTACATATCTATGTATGTATATATGTACATAGTATTTCTTTTTACCGCATTTCCTGAGGCAAAGAAAAAATCACGAAAACGCAGTCAAATAAACCAGCAGCCAACCGACAAGTCGCTTCCTTGCAATACGACAACTTCGCCACAAATTGAGGCTTTTTCAGGTGTAATGTTGCTAATGATTTTTTTTTAGAAAGGGCGGTGGTATAGTTGTTCATTGCAAAAGCTGGTTGTAGCGGCAACTGACTCTTACGACATAGAATTAAAAAACGTATATAAAAAAAATTATAAACAAAAGACAAATGACAAAACCAGTCAAAATGTCGCAATTCTTTTATTTTATGGAGTACTATATGTATGTATGTACATTATGCTGCATCACTCCCCATACAAAAAAAATCGGTCCATTAGAATTATAAAATCTATTATATTTTAAGACGTCCACCAAAATATTTCGGAAAAATATTAAGATTTAAGCGAGCTGGATCGATTTGAAAGTACCCCCAAAAATGGAGTTTTTTATTAATAAAAATAGTTTCTTAAAATTTTTTTTTTTTGAAAAAATCCCTTCAAATGACAAATCGGTTTAAGCTTAAAAAATTCACAAGAAAATATTAAAAAAAAAAAATTAAAAAATTTTAACGGAATCGTAATGAGATTTTTGATGCTGTTTTTTAACTTTTTTTAAAGATAGATAGATATAAGATATAAGGAAAACTTGAATAACTGAACCTAAACTCCTCCGATTTAGCCTTAAGAGGTATCATTGGAAAGGTATTTTCTCCTCCTTTTTATTTCTTTGCTAATAAGCTAATTCAAAGGATGAAAGAGAAAGGTAGGATTGGCATTTGAAAAAAAAAATTGGGACACGAATGACCTTTTTTGCACATAAGTAAAAATAGCGGGAAAATACCTTTCTACCGAGATCACACAGGTCTAAATCAGAATAGTTTTGGCCCAGTTATTTAAGTATTTCGTTAATCAATCTTTGAAAAAAGTAAAAAAAAACAGCATCAAAAATCTCATTATTACGATTCCGTTGATTATGCAGATTTTTTAGGCCTAATCTGGTTTGTCATCTGAGGGGACTTTTTTCAAATAAGTTCTTTAAGAAACTATTTTTTTCATAAAAAACTCAATTTTTGGAGATATTTTCAAATCGGTCCAGCTCGCTTAAATCTTAATATTTTTCCGAAATATTTTGGTGGACGTCTTAAAATAAAATAAATTTTGTAATCCCGGCGGAAAAACCGCAACTTTTTTTTGGTGATGCGGTCTAATATATATATGTACATATATATATAAAAGAACATTAAAGAAATGTAATAAAAATTAAATAAGTAAGGAAGGATAGAAATTAAAATGCCATTTCTGTGAGAAAAGAGTCAGCCAAACATGTTTCCTTCAACACAAGATTTGGTAACAATAACTAATCGGTAATCGGTTAATACCAATCGCAATCGATTGGTCCCACAATAATACATATAGGTATGTAGGTTAGGGTGGTTCCAAAATACATGTGAAAGAAGTAAAGTCGGAATTTTACTGCTCTCACCCCCTAAGATTGTTCTATATCGAAAAAAATATACCCCTTTTTTATTTCGAGATCAAAAAATATTTAGAGATCGCTCAAAGCGCTCAAAGTTTTTCAAGTATTTTATATGGGGAAAACTACTTTTTCGTATAAATGGTATAGAACTCTTGAAAATCAATATTTTTCGATCAGAAAACTCTGTTGTTGTTTTGGGTTTTTGTATGTCAGGGCCTTTTGTTTTAATGTCTGATTAGCACAAATCGGAGGTAGAAGCTCCGGTTAAATACAACGACCGCTTTATCGATTACATGTTATATGCATGATGTCGAAAACGTCGATGATGAACAACCGGCCCTAAGTTTTGTTTCGGGTGTATTTCCTGATTTAGTTTTTGTGTTATTAACATGGTATGAGGAATCCTTTTTACATAATCGTGCAAGATATGTGTAGATAGATGTAGATACAATTATAGTTTATATCTTTAATTTTGCTTACTTAAGTATAAGTGCATACCTACATATTTCCTTCATATATCCATACATAGCCTAATCTTTTTTCCGTTTTATTTTTATTTTCCAGGAACCCAAAGCCAAACAAGTATGTAACGCATGATTTTATTCTATTTTAGTTAATATACAAATCATACTATATTAATTAATTACGAGTGGATAATATCTACAATCTCAACGTCGTAATACTGCGGTTGAATTATATTTTAAAAGGCCTTACAAATACACGATGATGCTAACAAATGAAACTTTAAGAAATTCATCTGATCATAAATAAATTTATCTGATCTATATATTTTATACGTACGCATTCTGATCTCACTTCCATCCGTTGAGTATTTAATTTATTTTTCAAATGTCCTTCGTTTTCTTTTTACCGGTTCATTGACACTCGGCAGAGGAATTTCTTTACTGGTACAAATATATGTATATACATATATATACCGACATATGTATATGTATGTATGTACATGCATTCATATGCAAACGAATGACAAAGGCACAGTTTGCGGCAGATGTTTACTTCTAATATTTAGAATCTAATTGATTTTTCTTTAAAGCGTTCCGCAACATTTTTATCATCTGTCGTTCCTTTGAGTTCAGTAACCTGTATTAAAAAGGAACATATTCTACACCACTAAAACACATATACTTATATACATTATGCTAAATCCATCGTAGGTTCTCTCTAAATATACCAAAATTTCATTGTCCCGAGCCTGGCCGAATTTCAGGGGCCGCTACGAAATACGAAAAATCCACATACTGCAATCCTTGCGGAAACATGTGCAGCATTGTCAGCTATCACATGTGTTTCGAAGATAGCTGAATGAAGGAAAACAAAGTGGAAAGGAATTGAAAAAGCACTCATCATGTGCTTGTTTATAGTAAAATTTATGGATTTTCAATGTTTTGAGGAAAATTATGGATTCTGATGCATTTGCGGTTATAGAAGCGGAGTAAGAGCGCGCTATGGCAATGGACTCACAAAGGTAAATATGCGGAGCTGCCGGGCATAGTAACCATGGGCGCATCTATGTTAGCTTCTGGTTTTGTTAGGTCCACCAACTGTTGCGCTTGCTTCTGCCTTCGGCCGCGCTTAGGGATTATAAGCCTTAATAATAATAGATTGGCGCTTACACATATGTTAGTGTTTGGCCGAGCTTCTTCTCCGACTTGTGGCGTGCGCCTTGATGTTGTCACACAAAGCGGAGGGGACCTACAGTTTTACGCCGACTCCGAACGGCGATTGTATTTTTATGCGAAGCTGTTTTTCATGGCAGAAATACACTCGGAGGTTTGCCATTGCCTGCCGAGGGACGACCGCTGTTAAGAAAACACCTTTTTCTATATTTTTTGCGATGTTGCTTTGACCAGGGCTTGAACCCAGGTGCTGATGAGTGAAAGCGCGCACTGCTTACCACTACACCACAGCGGCCTAAGCCTTACTAAATAGAATTCTCCTTTCTGTGTTGCGGGGAAGAAGGGCTTCCGCATGTCAAAGGTTTACAACATTCGTTGTGCATATCACTCCGGCTACGCCGTCCAGTATTTTTGCGCAGAAACCACGTCAAAATTTGCAACAAAGTGCATAGTGCAAACCGAGTTTATTAATAAGCTAGTGGTAGAAAATTTGAAACATTTATCTTACAAAAATGTGAATCCTTTGATTACACGTGTATGTTGAAGTTTTTGGATTCGGGTTATGCGTTTGGACACAACAACCGAAAATCGATGTACAAATAACTAAACCGGACCCAAGTTTCTCGATAAGGGGCAACAAAGATTCTTTTTTGCTCGTTTATATGAAGCAGTGGCAAAAAATATACGTATATGCGAAAGGCAAATTTATCTGTTTAAATGAACACCACCAATATTTCTTGCAAACACACATTGATTTACATCTTTTATTTCGCCTCCGACACAGAATTGTTTTCGTACAAAATTACGCAAAAAAGCTTACTCGTTCGTTTTTAGGCATGCCATTGTTACGAATTTCGAAAGTTGTAATGAAAAAAGCATTCATTCACTTCTTATGAATTGAAAGAGGAAAATAAAATGTGTATGCTCGGAACTAGTTGGTCTGCTAGAGTCGATCTTAAGATATTCCTTGAATTGATATGTTGAGTCTGACCGCTGGAACAAGAATGAATGTACATATATACAATGGGGGAATTCGCTCTTCTGTGTATGCGTTGTATATTGTGTAATTGTAACTGCATGAGCGTGTGATTTGTTGTTGCTAGCGGTACATCAAATACACATGCAACAACAACCACACGCTCGTCCAGTTACACTTATCCAGGATGCAGCGAATACACAGAAGCGCGAGTTCCACTAATGTTTTGTTTGCTGTTATTTGGCTACAAACTCTGACACCAATTAATTAGGTTTTATTTTCACACCTGAAAATAACGATTTTTCATAAAACTTATATGGCCATACGAACGCCAACAACTGAAATTTTGCCCTAAAAAGTTTGAACTTATTCCTTTTATTGCGGTGTCGCTATCTCTGATAAGGATACGTCGGAAATCATGCCTGTATATCTTTTTAGTTATTAAATAGAATAACCATTATTCTTATTTGAAAAAAATGGAACTCAATAATAATTACCATGTTTGGGCTTTCGACAGCCCCGGTTGCCTCAAGAACAAGGTCGTTCAATATCATTGGATGGATTTATCGTAGAATTATGCTGCGACGATCCCTTTGAGCTGCCCTGTGCGGCATCATTCGGAAAATTACAAGAACAACGGAATTCAGTAAACCATTTCTTACAGGCTAACCTAATATTCGCCGTCGAATTTGTTTTTTGCGTCACCCGAAATTGACTTGCATGCGTTTGCATTTGATTTCATTGAGCGAAACAAATCAAAATGTCACGCAGAACAAAAATTGGAAATTGAGTTAGCTTCATACGCACGCCGTTCAATTTCGCATGTGCTTGAGAAATTTTTGACAATAAATTGGCGGCGTGCGTGAATATTAGGTTAGCCTGTTAAGCGTTAAAATTGATGGAGAAGCGTATCCTGAATTCCGAAAAAAAGCACAAGGTTGTACCCTGCCAATGACTGCCATATACAAGCTACTTTGAATGCGCAGCGTATTCAACAGGTATTCAATTTTATTACGTCAGTCGTAAATTACATGACTAGACAACATTGACATTGCATATTGTCGTGTCGGGTAAAATTCTAACTTATGAACACCCGCATATAGTAGTTATAAACATGGGTGTATCCAGGTAGGGGCAGGGGGGGTGCTCGAGCCCCCCCTAACTTTCAAAATTTCCTTATATATATATAAAATAGTACCCTGAAATGCCAGCTTAATAGGGTCGCTGCTTTTTACTTACTGCACTATGTACGCCCATGTCGTTGTACAGGTCATACAGCCCATCGTTCCATCGTCTGCGGTACTCTCCGTCACCAACGCGTAAAGGCCCGTAAATCTTTCGCAAAATCTTTCTCTCGAATACTCCAAGAGCCGTCTCATTGTCCATGCTTCTCGCCATATACAGTATATTTTGCTTAGCTGCACATCCTTCTTTGCACGAAAAACTTGTGCACTTAACCGAAAAAGGCACTTAAGCGAATTTTCTTTACTACTTCAATGAGGAAGGTATCCAAATCCCTACGAAACCAAATAATGGAGAAGCACTTACCACGTAGAAATTACTGCAAGCGACATTTTTACCGAATAGTATCTAATTATCTATATAACTACATAAATTGATAGCCATTTTCTTTGTTCTGCGAGATGAGCAAAATAAATAAAAGCTTGTAAAATTAGGTAATTGTAGGGTCAGTGCAGGTAAACGTAATACTTTCTTTGATAATTGATACTAGTTGCACAATTTTCAAGGCAGGTATCGCCAATGTGCAGGTATGTTGAATGCATCTATCGGATCAGTTTCCTTATAAATATTTAAAATAATGCCTCTGATGCACATTTTGGGGTAGGTATCTTAAATGTGCACTTAAGCATAAAGGCAGCAAAGCAAAATATACTGTACCAGCACGGGCACGATGATTGACTTATAGAGTGTGTTTTTCGTGCGTCCAGGGAGGACTTTACTGTTGAATTGCTACTCAGTCCAAAGTAGCACATGTTGGCAAGAGTGATTCTGAGTTGGATTTCGATGCTGACATTATTCCCGGTGATATTAGACCAGTTGTGCATACCTTGCACTGTGATACCATTTTTACGTAAAAATCAAAACCCAACAGACCTCTACATGTGAAGTGCTATGCGTTGGGTAATCGCTTGGAGGCAAAAATCATTTAACTGATTCCTTATGTGACAACTTTCATTTAACGCCAAGTAGGCATAACTGAGCTATAATGTTGGTTTCCAACTAAACGAAATTCTCTACTTTCTCGAAGTTATAACTGCCAACAGTGACGTGGGTGCCAAGGAGCGAATGCGCTGGCTGTTTTTTTGAAGACAAAATATACTTATCAGCAGGGATGCCGTTTGGATCTAAATAGATCCAATTGGATACATTTTTAGACGAATTTTTGCGGGATACTTATTTTTTCCGGTCAGTATAAATGTGGATACATTTTTAAATAGGCCAAAATTTTATATTTCCTATAAAGTTTTTTTCGTTCAAAAGTCGATTTTCAGTAAAGATGGTAGAAAGCATTACGTTTTCTAAACGTATTAAGAATCGCTACTTAAGCGTGAAATTAAAGCATTTTATTTTTTGTGAACGAAGCAATGAACATATGAAGAGATCTCACCAAAATAGGTATAAGCGAAATTGTGTTAATTAGCTTAAAAGGATGCTTTAAGCAAGATCTTAATATAGGTACATATCGTCGTTTAAAGTACAAAACTGCGTATCAACAAAATGCAAATCGCGTTTCAAGATAATGCAAAACCGCCTATGTGACGTTGCATAAATTATTTTCTAAAGAGGAAAAACACTTATGTTTTAAAATGGTTCCCTTTTTTTATAGAGCAATCGCATTTCTGGCTAGTATATTTCAGGACGAATGGATCAGGATTGAGCCAAGAGCTCGTGTGAGCAAATCCAATTTTTGGTAGCAAATGTCAGTTACGCGGTTTTGCAGAATGACG